CAAAGCCCCCCCCGGGCTCCGGAGAACTCTCCCTTCTCGTATTTTTCCACTCTCCATCCTTCGCTCCTCGCGGTCTGCGTACCGTAGCTTCCCCCTCACCGGCGCTCCCTTCTTCACGTGCCGAGACGATAGGAAAATGGTCGATGAAGTCTAAACCAGGAGCAAACGACGTTACCCTGCGCAGCGTCGGAATCGTGCGGCTGCGGGGCCTCGAGGAAGAGGATTTAAGAAGCTCGACAGCAGGTGGATTCGTCTCGAGACCCCGCTGCAGCGGCTGCCCCTGGGAAGCGATGCCTGTTGGGGCTCCAGCAGGTCGTCGCCTGCTTTCCTGCTGCCCCTCTTTATTTTATTATTTTCCTATTTAAAGTTGGTTTTGTTTTACAAAAGCCCTTCCATCCCTTCTGGGTCGCGCGGGGGCACAAACGGCCTTCGAAAAGAAACGCTCCTCAGGTCGAACCGGGGCCGGGGGTTTCGCGGGGCGGTTTTGCTGGACGTTGTCATTAATCGGAGTCGTGTTTTACCGGCGCGAGACACGGCAGGAGGCGGAAGGAAAAGCCGTTCAGCTTTCGTCATTAACACGCAAACGCGTTTGGGAGGAAAGAGCCGCGCGCGTTTCCTTCTCCGCTCGCCCCGGACCAAAGTTCCGCATCCTAAATTTCTCCTGCGGGAGGCGGGCATCGCCCTCCCCTGCAGAAATACGAGGGAAGAAAGGCGAGTCCCGGCCCGCGGGGGGGGAAGCGGTTTCAAGCTTTTTCGCCCCGTTTTGGTGCGCCGTCCCCTTCCCCGTGGCGTGATGTACGTCGTGAGAGAGAGGGGCCGGGCGCCGGCCGCACGACGCTTCTGCCGCCGTGACGAGGGACGAGGTACGCGACCGCGCGGACGTCTGACCCGTCGACGCTTGGTCTCTTGACAGATGTTTTATTTTTAAAATATTTTTGCTTATTCTCGACGATTATTTTACATCTTCCAGTATTGGAAAGGTAAAAGGTGTAGACAAAGTAAAAGCCAAACCTTTTGATCTCAGGCGGTGAGGCGCGCGCGGAAATTAAAAGAAAATGGTTCTTTCCGAAACGGCGGTGATGTAAACACCCGCCTGGAAACGCGCTGGTTTTGGTAGATGCGGGGGGCGCGGGGCGGGCCAGGGGCTCCTGGGGAAATGCGGCAGAGAGCGCGTTTATTTACCTGCAAATAAATCTCTTTGGTACAAAGAGGCCTCGGCTCTC